GTGCACGCTCCTCCCCGCCCGGCCCCGCCAAAAGACTCCCGCGCGGCCTTCGGTGCAGCGGGGTTGCGGGTACCGACGCTAAACCCAAAGCGTAACTGCGCCTTGCGGGTGAAATCGCCATTTACCTCCCCGACTAGAAAACAAAGACACACTATTACGAATAGCGTTGTCCACAAGAGGAGGTAATACAGTTGGCAGAGATAAAAAGGCTGTTGATCTCTACGTTGTCAGCATCACCAGTATTTCTGCGACTCAATCATTAACTCAGATTGGGTGCAAAATGACGCCTCTTTAATCAGGTGCACAGCGCCATCCTACTTTCTTTTGCAAGACTAAATAGTTACCTTGCACCGCAGCGCCGGATCAGCGGACAGATGACCTGTAGATATGTTTGTGGCGAGCACCTCTCATCGAAGTGCAAAGCTAACCATGCCTGTGAGACAGGCAGGTCGCCAAATCACCTATGTCACTTAACATTTTTCGGCTATGTCAATTACTATTTGAAGGAGAACGGACTTGCCTTTGAGAGATTTACATAAAATATATTGCCTCTAAGCATGTTTTTAAACGAAGCTTTTTTTAAAAAATTCTTTTAGTGTGCATGAATTTATAAAGAAAAAAGACCTCCTGTCTCCCTCAAAAAATTCTTGTATAAATGTTTAATAACAGTTAAAATTTACATGTTGAAAGGAACTAGTCTCCTAATTAAATGCTGCATTCTATATCTTGAAGTAAACTTAAAATCACTTAGAAGCTTTTCTACTTAACACTTTGAAATAACACCTCTCGGAATCAGTTTAGGAGACAGATTAGGAAAGTGAGTGCCATGGCGCTGAGCACATAGTAGGCTGCCAACAATTATTTGGAAGTTAAAGGACGGAAATTGCTGGACTGAATCTAACGTGACCTTTCTGGGAGCCGCTCAGGAAGTTAGAAGTTAACAAAGCTCAGAGAGTTTGGAACAAGGCAGCTTAGAAAACACCGTGAAACTAACGCAATCCACTGGATGCGCAGGTATCCTCCAACCTTTGGCGAGTTTGGAAAGTCCTTCCCGGGCGGCGACCAGGCACTGTGACTTCCCTTTGTGCGGGACTTCTCCCTGGAGTCTCTGACGACGCCCAGGGAAGAGGAAGTAGAGACACCGTCCACTTCATTCCTCTGGGCAGCTCTGTCGCGCTGGCGGCTCGGAGGGTGACTTGGGAGCCGTGCAGGCTCAGACATGGGATAGAGTCAACCGCGCGTGCCTCTCGCTTGGCATCACTTAATAACACCAGTGGGTTTCACCTTTGGCGTAGCCCCTTATACTTACCAAAGTACGTTTGTTCACCTATGTTAGTTTGGATTCTTGACTGCGGAAGAATTGTTATTTTTCCCCCCGATTTTCCAATGAAGAAACAGATTTAAAGAGGAGCCCTGGTCCACACAGTGGTCTGCGGGAGGGCAATGGACTGGTGAGCACTTTGGTGCTATGTCGACCTCTGCTCTTAAGTCTTAGAAAGTTCCTGGAGCCCTTCGCTACCAGCCAGAAAGACTCACCACGGGTTCGCGTTTATTTTATTCCCCTGCAACCCTACTCATCTTAGTACCTGACATTAGGAGCAGCCCTCCTGTAACAGGACAGGGCACGTTTTTATCAGCTCTTATGGTGTGTGTGTGTGTGTGTGTGTCCCTGCTAGTTACATTTCTGTCTTTGAAACCAAGCTCCGCGAAGAGTATGCAATCTACAACCCACCCACCCGCGGCCGGCTGTGTGTACTCCGGTTGGCCAGCTGGGCTTTTATGAATTGCTTGGCGGGTGGGGGAAAGCAGGAAATCATTAGCCTTTCACCAGTTATTATGAAGATTAAGGAACAAAAATCAAGAAAATAGATTTGTTAATTTGGGGCAACTATCCTGGGGAGAAGGGGGCCCGGGAAGGAACAGGAGAAATGGGCTTGAGCGGCTGTTTACTAAAATAAAGCAGATGGGCAGCCCTTGAACTAGTTCCGAACTGTAAAAGCTGCTCTGTACGGAGGAAACAAGTGCGATTTGTGTACAGTAAACTATAAGGGCTCGAGCTGTGCAGCACCAGCCAGGAGAGGGGAACAGTCCCACTGCTTCCTCCAGAATTCCCTGCCCATCTCCCACTGCCCCCCTCTCCCCACTAGTCCTACCCTCCCGGCACCCCATCTTGTGCACTTGGGGGCGTACACCTGTCATCGGGATCCAGTTGAATTACACTCCATTCCCTGGCCCTGACCTCCCCTAGGAATCACGACCCCACCCACTGCTGAGAGGTGAAGTCGGGTGGGAGGGGGCGGGAGGGCGGGAGGTTTGAGATGAAGAACTTCGATATGAAATGCGAAATTATCCGCATTTTCTGGGAAAATTAAAAAGGAATCTAAAGGTGCACAAGCAGGTTAGCAGAGTAAATATTCAGAGACCATGAGTCAGAGAGCCTGGGCTCAAGGCTGGTGGTTGCACTGAGGACATGACCTTGGTCGATTAGTTTTGTGGGCCCAGTCGCTCAGGTGCAAAACGGGAAGAGGGGCCGTCCTTGGCCTAGTGGTTGTGAAGGCATTTAATAATGAGGATAGAGAGCCTTCGCATAGTATGAGCTCAATAAACATTTATTTACCCCAGAGGCGGCAGCGCGTGCAGTTCCGGGAGGCCCCGTGCCTCCCTGGCTGAACTGAAAGGCGAGAGCAGCGCAGGGAATCCAGCGCCTTTCTCCAGGTTCCTCTCTTAGAAGAGGTCCGGCCTTGGCTGAAGACCTGTTAGGTGAGGAAACAGAAGTGCTTTGGGCTTGTAAACCGACACCAAATTACAAAAAATGCCATTGGAGCCCCCTCTTGTAAATTACAAAGCGGTGGGGCCGCTGTTTATGCTGCCGCTGCCCTGCCCGTACGCTTGGGCGGGGTGGCGCGGCGTTTGCTTTTCTCCTAGCTGGCCCGCGCGGAGGCCCCCCTCTCCCTCTCCCTTTCCCCCAAATCGCTCTCACCCGCACCCCTTCCGGTCCCCGCGTAGCTAAGACCCACCCCGGTGCGAAGCCTTGGCAAGTCAAGCTAGGGAACCTGAAAAATAAAGCTGGAAAGGAAGTTTCCCTTCTTCTAATTGTTCTCTTTCTTGATGAGGATGGCTTTCTTTTTTTACCACAAATACCACTACAAAAAAAAAAAAAAGTATGTATGTTTCAATTGGCTCCTGCTGACCCATCCAACTCCCTGCTGTGAATCCCAGCGGGCAGGCCCCTGCCACTCCACGTGACCTGGGTTCTGCATGACCACGCGGTTGGGGTCCGGCTCCAAGTCCTGTCCACCTCTGCAGCCTAGCCCAGCCACCTGTCGCGCGATTCATCGAACCCTTGGCCACTGGAGTTGAGCGGCCCTGGGCGATTCTCAGAGGGGAGGGGGGTTGTGGGGGGGCGTGTTTTGGCTCCGCGCTGGCAATCCGGTTTGGAGGCCGAGAGCCCGGGTTTCAGATCGGACAGACAGGGGTTAAAATGCCGGATTTGGTGCTTCTCAGCTGGGGTACAGCGAAGAGGATCTTTAACCTCCCTTTGCGATTCACTTTCCTCAGTGGAAATAACCTTAAAGGAGATGACGCTTGTGGACACCCCTGGCACACTGATGGCCCATGCTGAACATTCAATACTTGGGAGCTGTTATTTGTGTTAGTCTTGTTATCATTCTGACTCGATGAACTGACCTGCAGAGTTTTGAGGCCCTATTACCAGCTTCCGAGGCCCAGGCCTAGGCCTGGAGACAGACTGGAAGGGGGGACCCTGCCCTCCACCACTAGCCTGAGTTGCCTGGCTCTCTCTACCTGCTGCCTAAGTTGGTGAATGATTTGGGGAATTTCTGGGCAGCTCCGTAGAAGTGCTTTGCTCTGGCCTGATTATGGCTCTGGTTTCTCAAGAACTGACCTCGAATCCACCTCCTCTCGCGGAAAGCTACTCTTAACATTGTATTGTCTCACAATTTTGACCGGCTGTGGACGCGGCGAAATAAATAATCCCAGATGGGATTGCAGAGATATGATTTCTCAATTTGCTTTGCGTAATGAAATATACGACCTGTCACAAGCAATGGGGGTGGGGGGATAGCTTGCGAGATATAGCTGTTCTCGAGGCTATTCGAATTCTCTCATTTTCTGCTCTGCATGTCCAAAACAAAAGAAGAGGGGGGAAAAAACGCTAAAGAAAAGGACAATGCAATCTGGGCTCTCATCCCTCTTCCATGGGAAGCAGGGTTTAAACCACAGGCGTTTAAGATGCGCTTAGTGCGCGCCCCTCGGTTCACAAGTGGGAAGGAAAATTGAGGCTCAGAAGTTCCTGGGATAAATACAGGGTGTCCCCCAAAAAATGTACACACACTTTAAAGCTGATAACTCAATTTTGAAAATGAAATGTATTTTAATAAACACTGCCTTTATAATCATTCAAAGTGTGTGTATACATTTGGGGAGGGATACCGTATAGTGCCTGCATGGGGCCAAATAGGCCATAGTAATTTCAGGGCCCTTCGTGCCTTCATACAATTTTTTTAAGTGCCCTTTGCAGCAGGATCTGGAGTCAGATGCTGGGACTATAAAGCAATCATGCAGGGCTTATGGAAGGATCTGCCAGCCCACCCACCCCACCACCCGGCAGCTTCCATCCTCCATGCTGGAAAATGTGGCTCAGTTTTCGGCTAGAAGATGAGGCAACCGCAGGCCTCCTTGACTTCTCAGTACCCATTCCAAATGGTCATCAGGGGAGGTAGCGGGGCCTGGGTTCCAGCCCAGGGGTGGTGTCCTGGCTGTGGAAAGCAGCCATCAGAGGGCATGTGGCTGGTGTCCACATCAGGAGGCCAGGCACACACATGGGACTCCAGCTCTGTGCCACCCTGCAGCCCCTAGGGGACCTCATGATTAACCAAAACAGAAAACCCTTAACCCTGAGAACTGTCCACCCCCACTCCCATCCCGTATTGGGGTTTAACATTTTATCCACACTGAAATCACTCTCCATATTTTCCCCAACAGTACAACTACCAAGTAGAAAAGAATCAAGAGAGGGAGAGGGGGAGCAAAGCGTTCATGGGGCAGGCACAATGGTGGAAACTTAATGTCATCCATGTGTAAGAGCCATTGGGCAAATCCTTTCACCTTCCTGGGCCTCAGATTCCCTGACTATAAAATGAGGGGTACAATTCGGTGATTTCTAAATTATATCTCAAACATTAAAAACTTTAACAAATTTTGACTCCCTTTTGATGCACTCATGGCTTAGATAACAAGATCAAGGGCACACTGAAAGTCCAAGAAGGGTGGGGAGGGGATTAGAAACAAATTTTGGTGTTGATTTTGACATCTTGGTGACATTTCTGTTCCTCTGTACTTGTGCGATTGATCCTGTCTAGACAAAATCCTAGTCAATAATGTGAAAACCAAACCAAAACAAAAAACCTGTCAACTGGTGAAAGATGAGGACATAGAATAGTTTCACAAAAGATGCCATTCCCGAGAGCCCAGATCCAATGACGATTTGTTCAGGTGACAAAGAGTTCTCACAAGTCATAAAGGTCCCACGATCTTGTGGCTTCTAGATTAGGTCCATTGTGGCTGGAGTTTGAGCAAAAAATAAATAAATAAATAAGTAAATGAGTAAATAAATAAATAAATAAATCACCCGCCTGCTTACTAGTAAACAAGCCTCGGAGCCCTGTCCTGTGTGATAAGCAGCCTCTGTGGTCTGGGTTTGGGCTCAGGGAAGGGCCAAAATATTTCCTTTGCTGTTATCTCTGGGAAGTCTCTCTGGAGTGTTCTTGCTGGCAGGAGGGGTTCCTCCGGAATTCTATCAGGAGCATCCCTATGCTCAAGCTTTACCCTAGCCTGGGGAAGACTCCAGCAGAGGGACTTGCACCACATAGATGTTCTGTAGTGTCTGTCCTGGTGGATTGGGGTGGGGTGGGGAGGGAGTGGATAAGAAGAGAGGATCAAACTGTATTTGGCTCAGTCTTTGCTCTCATATGGACAACAAGTGACTGTCCATATATCCAAGCGACTGAAGTATGATCCCATGTCTTGAAGCCAATTGGCAAAAACACAGACACCTCTAAAAGACAGAGTTCTGGGATTCTTTCAGTCTATGAAATAAGTGGTGGAAAAAAACCAGTAAGACTCCAGGGACTCTCCTGTTCTATTGCTAGCTTTTCCAGCTAAAGTAACCCTTGATCTTGAGCCATTTTACTCACCAGCACTCCTTTAGGCTTTGACTGGCTACTCTGCAAAGTGAACGACGAAGTTGAACGACATCATCTCCAATGTTCTTCCCCATATTTTTTTAATACTTCTACATGGGGTGAAAAAAAATGGAAAAGGCTCATGTGAAGGTTTTGTAAGGAGGTGTTTGGGGAGGAAAACGAGGGGACAGGGAGAGAGAAAGTCCAGCTTGAGGGTGCACCCCTTATAGCAAAGTGCTACATAAACTTTAAGAGCCCACATGAAATATATTCTCTTTGAAAAGGCTGACCTCAGAGAGCCAGCGGGTGTTCTAAAGGAGGGAGATGGGCAGGTAGAAGGGGCAAGCGCGGGGGAGCTGTCACTTGCTTCACGCTGATTTAACGCAATGGCGGGGAGCGCAGGTGCAAGAAACTCCAGTCCCCTACTCTTGCCCACCAAGCCCCCCTTAGCCCTCCACTCCTGCCCCTTCTGTCGCAGAAAATTTATTAACGAGGTGAGGCCAGGCTAACAAAACTGCAACCCTGGGCGCTTCGGACCAGCGAGAATGCTTTGATCCTCCCCCAGTGTCTAGTGGTCCCCAGCCGATTGCATTGCCAAACGCTGGGGTCACTGCTGGAGGACCCAGCTTCCCTGAAACCAGTAGCAGGTGTGTCCACCCTGGAGCAAGAGGCCGCGCGGGGGCGCTGTGGGGCTGGCTTGTCGACCCTCCTTCCGCAGAGCCTGAGGCATAGCGACCCAGCCACTGACCACCGGCCCAGGGTCCCATGGTCGCCGGAACAGAGCAGCAGCGCACACCCGCCGCGTTTAATCCTTGCCACCTCCCGTTTCCAGGAGGCGTCCGAGGTCGATAGTGTACAGTAATCCATTGGGAAAGTTGGAGGGTCACCAGCAGAGGAAGGGGAGGTTGTAGGGGTCATGTGATTCTCTGCGGGGGGCCGAGGTGGTGTGAGGGGGTCTAATTCCTGCTCCTTCCAGCATTTCAGCTTTTATTTCCAAGAACGGAGAGAGTCCTTCTTGTGTTGATTCTTGGTATGACTTTGCCAAGAAGGAAAGGAGAAACAATCACAATTATTGAGGGCCCACCATTGATCAGATTCAGTGCTAGACCCTGCCAGCTTGGCGGTATTGACTCTTCACAGCTCTTCATTTTACAGTTAAAGAAGCAAGTTCCCAGAGGCTGTTTTGTCCTGGGGACAGGACTCAGACAACAGAACCCAGATCTGAATCAGAACCATCCCATTTCCACATCCTTCCCACCAGGAAGTAGCTGTGGGGCCCTCCGTGCCAGCTTCTAGGAAACCAACCCCAGCCCCTCCCAAGCCTCCAGCTCTTTGTTCCAGAAGAAGCCAACTTGATCTCCCTGAACACAAATTCTGCAGACTCTTCTCTCAACCAACCATATCCTTGTTCTCCGCCCTTCTCCACACCCATCCTCTCTCTCCACTCCTGCTTCAATTTGGCAAATCTCTCAGCAAAAACCGCCCTGAGGAGCAGGGGGCACTTTCCGTGCATAACATTTTCAGAATTTCACTTTGTAGCCAGCGAGGCA